CAGTACAGTTCAGTACAAGTACTGTACATAGGAAGTGGAGGTGCAGTTATTCACAAAGCATTTGTGTTTGTTGTCGGCAGTAGTGACGGTGCGGAGGGAGGGGAGGGAGCGAGTTGGGAGGAGTGGTGAGGTGACCTTGGACGCAGGAGCAGGGACGAGTGGAGATGCCAGCCAGTATATTTCGGGTGTATTAATTGTTTTTATAGCTATTTTTGCATTTTAATATTAAATACTGTACATTACGTTTCAACAAAACTACCATTTATTTCTGAGAACATAGAAATGTAATATTTTTGCTGAAATGATGTACGTATTACAGTGGAAAGTGGGATAAAATTGTGACGCAAGCAATGACTCTCTCTCTTTCTTTCGTTCAAAAGATGTTGCCGTAATCGCTTTTCAAATGGTTTTCAGTTGTGGGATTATAAGGCTAATGATAGGATAGAATATTATTGTAATACAGTACGAGTACAGTACAAACATTTTTTAACTGAAAACCATTCGAAAAGCGATTACGGTAAAATCTTTTGAACAACGAAAGAAAGCGAAAGTCATTGTTTTCATAATTTTATCCCACTTTCCACTGTACAGTAATATGTACGTCATTTCAGCCAAAATATTACATTTCCATATTTATTTCTGAGACTATATTCATTCAGTCACAGTTAAGGTAAAATATACTTGTGCGTTGGTGCATCGTTTCCATTGTTTACTGGTAGTTACTGGTAAATATTTTTCAACCTAATGAAACTATTATCCTTTTAGAGGTCGACCCCCAATTTTTTGCAAAATAATTTGGTCTTAAAAACTTGAACTACACACAGGTATATACGGTAAATATGGACAGGGGGGGGCCAGGGGCAGCAAAAGTACACGGATTTTTAACATTCACGGGTATCTCTGTTACCTAACCCCCGCTTATGTTAAGGGCCGACTGTACAGTTAACCCTCACTTTACGCGGTCCCGCATTCCGCGTTTCCACGTTAACGCGGTGCCTTGCCAGAACCTCACGTGCTCACATTACGCGGTACATGTACCCCATTACGCGGAGAGTGTCCGGCGCGACGCTATTTTTAGATTCGCCCCACCCGCCCGCCTGCGCTCCTCGTCTCGCCCTCCTCCTCCCTCCGCTTGGGCAAGCGGCGCGGTAAGGTTGCGCAGTGTGTGTCTTTGTTGAGTTATCACTGACGTCATATGATGTATCAGACCTGTGATTGGCCATGCATCCCTACCCCCCTCTGCTGCTAGCTGTAATTGGCTTAAAGTATTATGACGTGTCCACCCGGGGGAGGGAGGGAGGGAGGGAGGAAAGACGACGCTTGACCTAGCCGCGGCAGTTTCATCCCTCAAGGCCACACCGTGTAAACGCGCATCCATTGTTGCGTAAAATGGCTTCCGCCGGACCACCACCCCCAGAGAGAAACCTTTCCTTACCTGGACCCAGCAGCACTAAGCCAAAGAAGACACGACGTTCCTTAAGCTACGAGGTGAAGTATACCATCATCCAAGAGTTGGAGAAAGGAACAAGGCAGGTTGATTTGGTGCGCCAGCATGGTGTGAATGAATCTACGATTCGAACAATAAAGAAGGATGCAGCCAAGATAAAGGAGCACATGAAGATCACAAAGTCTACAGGTGCTTCTATGATCAAATATTTTCACAACCAGGTGCTTCTCAAGACAGAAAATTTCTTGTGAGGTACTTGGTGCGTCAGGCGCGACGGAACATGGCAGTCGACACGCGCTCTATTAAGGACTACGCACGTGAACTGTACATCGCAGTGGCACGAAAGATGGGAATTACAGAGCCCAAACCCTTTAATGCTTCCTCTGGGTGGTTACAGAGGTTTAAGATCAGGAACAAGATCACCAATATAAACATTGGTGGTGAAGAAGCGAGTGCTGACCGTGCTGCGGCTCGGGAATTTCCTCCGTTTTTACGTGAGATTATGGAGGAAGGACAGTACAGTGACGACCAGGTGTTTAACATGGACGAATCTGGTCTTTTCTGGAAAAAGCTACCTTCCAAGTCCTTCGTTGTAAAGAATGCCAGCAGGATTCGGGGCCGGAAGATGCAGAAGGAACGCATCACCGTCCTGTTTACCACCAATGCCTCCGGTACCTGTAAGCTCAAGTTATCGGTGATCCACACAGCACGCAAGCCGCACGCCTACAAAACCATGGACATGACCAAGCTAAATGTCCACTGGCTGACCGCACGTAAGGCGTGGATGTTCTCTACACTGTCCCTCTCCTGGTTTGATGACTGTTATTTTCCCGATGTAAAAAAATTCTGTGAGCGACAGAATGTGCCATTCAATATTTTGTTGCTGCTGGACAACGCACCAGGACACTCGCCCCTACTGTTAGATCGTCACCCCAACGTAAAAGTGGTCTTCCTTCCTCCCAACACTACGTCTATATTACAGCCCATGGACCAAGAGTTAATCTGTAATGTAAAAGCTGCATTCTCAACAAAAAAATTCCAGCTCCTGAATGACTACACCAACACCAGGGAAGAGTTGCGTAACCTGAGTGACACCACCACCGATAGCAAGAGCGAAGAAGATGAGGATCAACAGTTGGAACAGCAAAAAATACTGTTCAAACAATTCTGGAGAGTATTTAACATCAAGAAAGCTGTGGACTTCTTGGTGGAGGCATGGGATCAGCTGTCTGTAGCAACGGTTCATCACACATGGAGACATGTGTTGCAAGGTATCCCAGGTGGGAGGCAGAGTCAACCTGTGACTGGAGAGGTTCAGACTGTTGCAGTAGCAGTGGACCTTGCCAGAGAAGCTGCGCAGAGTGTTACAGCTGCAGGCTTCTCCGAGACCACCAACGATGACATTATGGAGGTGATAAGGGATCCTGATGTGACTGCCGATGAGATGTTAGAAGACGATCACGTCAGTGAAGAGACAGGTGGTGCGTCATCCCGAGAAGAACACAAGTTATCGCATGGTAATGTAAGGGGTGCCATCGAGTGTGTAGAGAAACTGAAGCTCCTCCTTTCCGATGACCCTGATAATAACCGGTATGAAGTCTTCACTACCCAGCTGTTGCAGACTATGGAGCCCTACATCAAGGTGTATCACGACAACATCAACACTATCCGTCAACAAAGCATTACCGAGTTCTTCTCCCGCAACCCACCACAGCCAGCCCAAGCCAGTGATAGTGACAGACAGAGACAGTGATGGTGACTTTGAGGGATTTGTCAGGGAGGCCCTGAGAAGTGTGGATGACAGTGATGGTGAATCACCTGAGGGCCAGTAGCCTGCCCTCTGCCTCGGAACCAGCCTCCATTCCCGTACGCCGACCCATCTCTTCTACTAACGTAAGTGTTAAACCTAACCTTGATTTTTCCTAACATAACCTAACCTTACGTAAGTGTTAAACCTTGATTTTTCCTAACATAACCTAACCTTAGGTTAGTGTTAAACCTTGATTTTTTCTAACCTAACCTAACCTGACGTAAGTGTTAAACCTTGATTTTTCTTTTACCTGGTACAGGATATTATTCTCTTATTGATATTTCTCTTCTGTATTATATGTGTGTGCATACCATCATAAAGTTAAAATGTTATTTTTACTAAAACGTACGTATTGTGTCGGGAAAAAGTGGAGATTGGGGGTCGGCCCAGTCTCTATTTCAATTAATCCCATATGTTCTGTTGTTCCATTTACGCATTTCCCACTTTACGCGGGCCTCTGTGGGTTCAATTGACCGCGTAAAGCGGGGTTATACTGTACAGTATTTATAATGTGGTACAGGGGGTATTTATATATTTATTTATACTTCATTTATTCATTCATGAAGAAAATCTAACCTCATTATCATTTGTAAAACGTCATTCATTTCAAAATTATTAAAATTACAGTCTCGAGTATTTTTGTCATGGTTAAACACATTTTTTACAAGATCACAATTGTCGGAGGTATAAAGGTAAACTAGAATGTTATACTGTACTTTATTATATAAAGTAACAATAACAAGAAATACAGAAAAAGCTGATTCACCATAACAATCTTATCCATGTACACACAAATATATTAAGAAATATAGAAATAAACAAATAATTTTGTAGAATATAGGAGAGATATCTCAAAAAGAGACATATACCATTGGATAGAGGAGAAAAAATATGATGGATTAACGTTGGTTTCGTTGTAAAAGTCGATGTGGGTGACGTTCCAGAACGTCTGTCTATTTTCCCGCCATTTTTTTTTTCATTTTTATTTTATTTATTTATTTAATTTTTTGATTAATTTTGGAAATGGTGATTTTTTCTCGATTTAACCCCGCGTGGGGGGTACTGCCAGCAGCACCCTAACCCGGGGCTTAAGGGTTAAATAAAATTCTTTATCCTTTTCCTTACCCAATAACATGAATGATAACCTTATTTCTTGTCAATATTTTCTCAAAATGCATCATGTAATGGTTACATAATAGTGTTAACAATGTAAATAACGAATATACTGCAGTGATATTTAATTTTACTATCAGTATCATAACTGCCATGACCTTTTCTTGCACTGAGGGTTATTGTATACTAATAAATAATAAATACTATCACTATCAGTAATTGTGTTTTCAATGCATGTTCTTGTCTTGACCAAACGAAAAATGCTTTGATTTAGCATATCATAGGTTTGGCATGCAGTTTCAGATTAAGCTTTATGAAGATCTAAATTTCATTTTCTGTCAATTACTGATATTCAGTGACACCACTGTCAGTGACCAATGCCATGGTAACTTACACTAGTAACTACACTTAACTTCTTTATCTTCATGACATAATAATAATCTTACCGGTCATTACCCAAAGGAAAGTGATGGAATTTTAAATGTCTGTGGCTTTTCTTGTCCTTGCTACAAACAACACAACCATGACAACCACATGGAGCCTTTTCCTGTAACTTTGGTTTTGTCACACTGAACGAATCTTGTATGTCCAGCCAGATGACGTCATACCAAAACACAGTCTTTGTTGCAGACGATACTCATGCGATGGTGGCGCTATCTGTCGGTGACCGACCCAACTACTAAGTGCCAGTTAGTGATTTGATGCTATTTTTTGGCGGCACGCAGCTATATGGGGAGTCGAGCTTCCTTACTCTACCTTCCTTGCAAGCGACACCTTGTCCCCCAGCAACAGGGAAAAGTGACCATATCAAACATCCCTCCTTCCACCACACCCTGCCTCTACCAGACATAGGGTGATTACATGGGTAGTGTAATCGATAATGATTACATGTTATTTTAATGATTACAATTACAAAAATGTGAGTGTACCTAATTGTTTACATTTACATGAGATGCAATCATGATTACTTACAACAGTAGTGTACAGTACAGACACTCCCCAGTTTATGGAAAGGTTCTGTTTCTGGACCCTATCTGAAAGCCGAATTTTCTGTAAACTGAAAATGCCCCTTCCATAAGGTAGATACTGTACTGTATTGTACCCTGTACTGAATCACATATGGCATTTCACAGTAATTCCAGTAGTAAAACCTCAGTAAATTGGACTTCAATATATCAGAATTCACTTTTTTCGGACTTTGAAGTACATTGGTCACCAGAAGTACTATTAAAAAAAATTAAGAGCATATTTTAAGAAATGGGGAAGATTAAAAAAAATCTTATGAAAAGAACAATACTTACTCACTAAATACTGTACAGTGGTCTAATTAGGTTTGCCATTGGCCTACCAAGAACAAGACATTGAGTACAGTATTCCCCTAAAGCTCACGCTTTCAAAGCTTGCATCCTTCAGAAACTCACAGATTGCCATGGAAAATAAATAAAATACATCTGAGGCTGTGTGCCAGGGATCAAGAGGAGTCAACAATACAGGACAGTACAGAGCACCGTATTTCCCAGGTCATAAGATGCACCCTGCAATTAGCAAGGTATATTTTGGACAAAGAATTATTGCAGATTTAATAGCCCACTGTACTGGCAATGCCAAATCACTGGCTATTTGCCATCATGTTACTCACTATCACTTTATGGACCAAGTATCAAACATTTGTTGGTATTATTAATAAAATTTACCTAATTTAATACAAAAGGATATAATTATATGTATACAGTAGGTACCTATGGTATACACCTTACAAATATTTTTCAGTACCGGGCATGTTCACTAGGAACTGTCCAGTACTGGGATTGTTTGCATCCTGTGCACCAGGTCATCTGACATTTTAGAGGTATTGTCTTTGCATTGTCACTACCACAACTATCACTGTGTGGACCTAATGTCCATGCAGTGTTATTTCTGCTTATGTTTATTTGTGTACGTTATTTCATATTTATTATATTGTCTTATGTATACATAATGATGTTATACATGTGCTTTATAGCTATTTATATTTTGCACACTCCTGGGTCTGGCATGAAAAACTCTCGGATTTTGCTTTCTCACTGGGTCCATTTTACCTAACCCCAGCGAGCTTTAAGGGAATACTGTATACAAGCAGTCTCTGGCTGATCAGGTGTTGCCACATTTATCAGGTTTATTTATTTATTGATTCAATATTATATTCTCCTATGATTGGCCTCTTATGTTTTATGGTTCTTCATGATTAATTTAACATCTTCAATAATAGAGAAAAAATACAATAAGTAATATGTAATATGACTTGAAAATAAAAGGATAAGCTATATCAGAAGTTATTCACTCAGGATGTATTCGTGTGAGAGCTTTCAGCACACCAGCTTACAGGAGGGTCATTATAACACACTGTATTGTATTTGATATGAAGATACCTTCCTAACAACATTATATACTATCTTTTGAGTAGTAGGTAGCTACCAAACAAGGAGGTACTACTGCCTGGGAAGATATTGGAAGCATAATATATTGTTTAATGGTAGACCCTGCTGCCATGTGGCATCACAAAAATTGTGACCAAGTCCCAGGTTGCTGATCTATCTTTCTGCCACATTTACACACAATTGTAGGGTCTCAATTTTGTCTCTTACTATTGACAACACAACATGTATAACCATACTCACTCTTGATCTGTTCTATTTCTATTCTTTTATTCTCCTATGATGTCAATTGACAATAATATTGAAGTGGGTTCTTCTCGGATGGGTCCCACTGGTTGGGAAGGCTGTGGACCCCAGGGCCGACCTGATCATCATCAAACTACTGGGGCCTCAACTGTCGTCACCGCGGTTGCTGGAGGATCAGCTTTTTTCACACTTCATTTTGCCAACATTCGCAGCCTGAGATCCAATTTTCCTTCTGTGGAGCACCATCTATTAACCTCTTGCCCTGATCTCTTACTACTATCTGAACTTCAAATGACCAAAGCAGCTTCATCCAAACCTTTTCAAGTCTCCAACTACAACCTTTATACATATTTCCGTTCTAAGGGAGGTGTATGCGCCTACTGCAACACACACACACCTATAGCTCAACTCACGGATCTTGAATCTTCTCTTTATGATGTCATCTGGCTCAAAATATCTCTACCAACTATGACTATTTTCCTTTGTTTCCTATACTGTTCTCCCAACTCTGCCAACTATTTAGAACTCTTTGAGTATCTCGCCTCTTGTCATGAGTCGTTGCTATCCACACACCCCAACACCGAGATCCTCTACCTATGGGATTTCAATGTACATCAAACATAGTGCCTTGGCTCTGTAAGGGATGACCCAGGTGGAGCTGAGGCACTCTGTTTTTCCTTACTTAATGATCTGGAACAAATAATTAAACACCCTACACACGTTCCTGATTGACACGATCAGCTTACTAATATTCTTGATCTTTGTTTTACTTCTAACCTCTCACACTATTCATACTCAATTTCTGCCCCCTTAGGGTCTTCTGATCACAATCTTATTTCTATTAAATCAAACTGGGCATGTCCACCCACACCACCACCCTCTAAACACCAACTATGGCACTATCGGAGGGCAAACTGGCAGTTCTTGCGAGAATTCTTCTCTGACTTTCCCTGGGTTGAATATTGCTTTTCCACTAGGGACACCTCGGTATGTGCTGACAGCATTGCTGGGGTTATACAGGGTGGTATGAGTGCATTTATCCTATCTTCTACCAAAACTTTCACTTTACAATCATGGTTTGATCACTCCTGTTCTCTTGCTTGTAAGGAGAAAGATATGGCATATCAAGTTATGAAACTATCTCCTCCTATTACCCACTCCTCTTTCATTACTTCTAGGAATTGTTGGAAGGCTATTCTTCGTAGGGCCAAGCGGAATTTTATATAAAAATGACCGCTGTCCTGACTAACTCTTCTTCTAGTAATTCCTTCTGGTCCTTCACCAAAAACATCTGTAATAACTTGTGCACTCCCTCTTTTCCTCCTCTCTTCCAACCTGATAACTCTATAGCCAACACTTCCCCTGATAAAGTCAATCTCATTGGCACCTTATTCTCCTCTAACTCCACCTTAAATGATTCCCTCTTACCCCTGCTCCCCCTACTGAACCTATACACTTTCCTATAATCTCCACTCGTAGGGTTGCTGGTGTGGCATCCAGGTTGGATGTGAGTAAGGCGCATGGGCCGGACGGAATACCCGCTTGTGTTGTGAAGGAGTGTTCTGAAGTTCTGGCCTCTGTGCTTGCTTGCCTCTTTGTCTCAAAACCCAAAATTTTCCATTTTCTTAGAAGAATGCCTCGGTTCAGCCCATTCCAAAGAAGGGTGACCATTTTAACCCCTGTAACTATTGCCCCATTGCCATAACTTCATCCCTTTCTAAGATTTTCGAAACTGTCTTAAACCCTCATTTTTTTCTGTCACCTTGAATGCCTTTCTCATTTGTCAGATCACCAGTATGGCTTTCGCCAGGCGAGATCTACTGGTGATCTGCTCTCCTACTGCGCCAATCTTTGGTCATCCCCTCTTAGGGATTATGGAGAAACTTCATCTTGGCCCTCGACATCTCCAAAGCATTTGACAGGGTATGGCACAAGTCTTTGCTTTTTAAACTTCCCTCTTATGATTTCTCTCTCCCACTTTGTTCTCTAATTTCTAGATTCCCTGAGAACCGATCCATGGCAGTTGTTGTCGAGGGATCAATCTCTCATTCTCTACCAATAATGGTGTCCCACAGGGTTCTGTTCTTTCACCAACTATCTTCCTGCTTTTTATCAATGATTTTCTTGACACTACGACTAATTGTATCCATTCTTACGCTGATGATTCTACTCTTCACTCTTCTTCACAATTTCCTCTTCCCCCTAATTCTCAAACTAGATCTGTTTCTAGAGCTGATATCATTGCTTCTATCTATGTGAATCAGGGGCCGCATACTCAAAACACCTCATCAGTTATATACAGTTGCAGAGATACAGTCCCGTAACTTACAAACTCCTTACAGTCCCGTAACTTACAGACTCTTTACAGTCCTGTAAATTTCCCATACTCAAAGTTGACTTATGGGGTCCAAAAGCAGTCCGTAACTTAGGTGTTTACCCTGTAAATTCAGTTCTCTTGTCCGAAGGTAGATGGCATTCCAAGAGCTTGTTGGCCAATCATTGCTCAGTTAACAAAATCATCAAGCAATCACAAGACAAGGAGAAATGAGCTGATATCGACGCACATAATGGTTGCTAGACGCACTTCAAGCGTCAATAATGAAGGTGGAATTATGTTTGAGTAAATACTTGAGGACAATGGTTAACCAATGACCAAAATAAGAACTAATATATATATATATATATATATATATATATATATATATATATATATATATATATATATATATATATATATATATATATATATATATATATATATATATATATATATACATACATACATACATACATACAGTAGTACCCCGATTTACGGTCAATTGAACCCACAGGGTACCGCGGAAAGTGAAATCCGCGTAAATGGAACAACAGAACATATGGGTTTAATTCCAATAGAGATGGGCCCGACCCCTTAACTCCACTTTTTCCGACACAATACCTATGTTGTAGTAAAAATAACATCTAAATTTTATGATGGTATGCTCACACAATTAATATTTAAGAGAAATACAGTCGCCAGGTTAATGTCCATTCAAATAATAGACTCAAATCCCCCCCCCTCTTCCCAGCTCACTGGCCCCTACCTCTCTGAGAAATGATTGGGTGAAACACTAGATTTTAACGTTTAGTAATAAATAATACCTCAGACTAAAGTTAGGATAATATAATTGACATTTCTGGATTCCTTGCAGGT